GCACCCAGTGTCCCTCTGCAGCAATGGATGAACACATGTGGTCCATGATGCACGGGCCCCATGATGACTCAGCCCGAAGGAGGAAGGAGATTCTGACACATGCTGCAGTATGGACGTACCTGGAGGACTTACATTCAGCGAGAGAACCCGTCACTAAAGGACAAATCCTGTGTGATCCCACCTGTACAAGATCCCTGGAGTGGTCAGACTCACAGACAGGAAGTGGACGGTGGTGCCGGGGGCCGGGGGAGGGACGGGCAGTGAGTGTCTAAGGGGGACAGAGGCTCTGTTTGGGATGATGGAAACTTCCGGAGATGGTGGAGGGGGTCGTTACACAGCTGTGGGAATGTGCCTAATGCTGTTGAACTTACACTTAAAATAGGTAAAATGGTAAATTTTTTTTTTGTAGTAGCTGAGCCGTCCTGCCACTTGTTGGCAGCTCAGCTCGGGCCGGGACTCAAACCGCTGTTGCTCAGAGCTCTGTAAATTTTATGTTTTACCACAATTAACACTTTAAAAAAAAAGATTTTATTTATTCGGGAATCGGGGAAGGGGAACAGAGAAGCTGCTGTCCTTTTGTTCTTCGGTGTAGTTGTGGAGGACGTCGCTTCACTGGCCCATGTTGGTATGATCATTGTGCTCTTCCGGCTGAGGCAGTCACTCGCCAGCCATTGGACGGCCGCTCACGGCCGCTCACAGCAGCTTGCGAAAGCTGACGCCTGCTGCTGACCAGCCCTACTGCAGCCTAAGCCATCACCGGCAACTAATGGCAGCCCAGCTCCAGGTTGAGCTGTTGTTCACCATCTTAGCTGTAGAGGGCACAGCGTCACTGGCCCTCATGTGGGATCCAAACTGGGGCCTTGCTGCTCAGAGCTGGCGTCCCAAGCCAACTCCTAACCAACATGCCACTCGGCCGGCCCAACACATTTTTTTTTTTTTAGTTGAAAAACTTGTTATTAAAAAAAGCACTGTCATGCTGGATCAGGGGTTTTGAGGGACATAGAAATGTGTCCTCAGGGGGCCCAGCCTGGGCCCAGGTTCTGACGGTCCAGGTGCTGTGGAAACCTGCAGGCTGGAGGAAGGCGATCAGACGGCCTCACATTTTGGGTCACATGTCTCTGAAGGGGCATAGGACACAGTGGACGTGAACGCCCATATGCTCGCTGATCCCCAGGTGGGGACACGTGCCTTGAAGCCCAGGGCTCACCAGGCCAATTCAGGAAAACACTTGTGTGACACAGCTTTTCACACCATTCATGCGCTTTATGTCAGCAACTGACCCAGAAAGCGGGGACAGCTCTGTCCTTCTGTGCTCGTCACACGAAGCAGACTGGGTCTTCTGTTAAGTGATGTAAACAAGCAAATCTCCAAGGTTTTGTAGGTTTTCCCCAAGAAATACGGTATGTCCAAGAGCACAGACCCTGGGGACACTGGCACATTTGCAAACTTGGGAATAGCCCCTGGGACGAGGTCCCGGCAGCCACCACGCATCCCTCTCTGCTCAGGCGTTAGGACAGTGGGCCCAGGCGCTCCTCCCTGGGGTGGCACACGACACAGTCTGCTTGGTTCCTGGACATGGTCCGTGGACGCCCGTGTGGCATAGGTCAGCTTCCCATTCCTTAGAAGTCCCGTGAGGCCCAGGCCCAGTGGCTGGCCATGGGCTTTGTGAAGATTTGTGGTCATCGCCTGGGGCCAGGCATGGGGTGTGGCCGCCCAGCAGGGCGCCTGGGCTTCCTTGTTCAGAAAAGTCAGCATGGAGTCTGAATCACACAGGTGTTCGCACCTCTGTGCCAGAAAGTTACCTGAACCTGAAATGAGGCAGGAAGTTGAGTGGCTCGTCCTTTCCAAGCCAGGTGGGAGCGGGGCCGCTTGGGGTCGGCGGGGTTCGGCTCTGCATCCAACGCAGCCTCACCCCGACTGCCTGGAGGCGCTGCTCCCAGCACTTTTTAGACTGCTTTTGACACCGCACTGCTTTCCTCTCGATTAAGCTCTTCGACGTGTGTTCATTTCATATTTTGAGCAGCGCTGTGGCTTCTGTTTGAATTATACCTTCATGGCTGAACGTGTTGGAATGAGATAGAAGTCGGGGTTTTTTTTCCATCCAGAGAACTAGCGGTCCCAGACACTTTTGTGCCTTCCCCACTGGACGGCCCTGCCACCTTGACTGGGGATCGTTCGTTTGTCCTCGTGCTGAGTGGCCTTAATTACCACAGCTGCACAGTGAGTCGTGACGGCAGTTAGACCTAGTCCTACGCTTTGGTTCTTTCATGAGATTGCTTTGGCAAGTCTGGGCCCTTTGCATTTCCACATGAATTTTAGAATCAGCTTGTCAATTTCTACAAAAAGGGAAAAGCCCACCTTGATATGACCAGGACTGCTCTGTATCTATAGGTTAATTTGGGGAGATTGGATGTTGGCTCTGTCGAGTCTTTTAATCCAGGAACTTGCACGTGTCTGTTTACTTAGGCCCCCTCTCTGCACTGTGCCGTAGTTTTCAGCATGTTTCGTTAGATTTATTCCTGGGCATTGTATGTTTTTTTGTCTGGACCTGAAGTTTTCTTTGTGGGAAAGTTTTGATTACAACTTCAATTTGTGTAATAGATGTTGGACTATTTAGATTTTCTAGTTCTTCTTATATCACTTTTCTTAGTGTTTTTCAAGGAATTTTTCCATTTCATTTAAATTGTTTAATTTACTATCAGTGTTAATATTTCCTTACTATCCTCTTAATACCTGCAGGATCTATAATGATATAGTCTTTAAAATTCTCGGTGTCAGTAATTTGTATTATTCTTAAGCAATCTTACTACAGGGTTATCAATTTCAACAATTTTTTCAAAGAACCAAATTTTGATGTTGTTGAAGATCTTTATCATGTGACTGCGTTAGACAATTTTCACTGATATTTTCACTCTTATTTTGCTTTTCCTCCCTTCTACTTAGAGTGGATTTCATTGGCTTCTTTCCCTAGTTTCTTGATGGGGACTCTACATTTTTTCCTTTTGAAACAGTCATTTTAGGCACCCTGGGACTTTGTATTTTTCCTTTTCTGCTTATAAGTAATTTGAAGTTTATCGGCTCCGGTGTCTTCATTGTGCTGAGTGTGTGGGTCGGTGTAGCTTCGCTTGTTCTCCATCAGGTTTTAGAAGTGTGGGGGTTTGGATTAGGTGGCTGCCCAGAAAGCTTCAATATCAGTAATTTAAAAGCTCTTAGAAGTTGGTATTTATAAACCCTAAAAGAAAAATTAGCGCACAACGTGCATGGACAGTTTACTAAAGAACTACAAGTCACCAATGAATGTATGAAATGTTTTCAATTTCATTAATAATGAAAGAAGTGAAAATTATAATAATGTAAAACAAGGTATCACTTATCAAACTGGCAAAGGTTCAAAAGAAGAAAAGAAAAAAAGAGTACCCAAATGGGCAAGAATTAAAGGAAGTGAGTATTACAATGTACGGCCACAAACTTCATGAAAAGTAATTTAAAGTCTCTGAATGTCTGTGTTTTAAAGATACAAATTGAAATGTTTCTGAATTCCACTGTCTGGGTATCTCAACCTCCCTCACCTCCAGCTTCTGTACTGGTGGAGTGGAGTCAGAACTGTTCCTGCCTCATGGAGGTGACGTGAGATCGAATGAGATATTCCGCGTAGGGCGCCCAACACTCATGAGGACCTGCACGGGGTGTGTACTCTTCATTGCAGTGACGGGGATGATGGAGGGGAAGATGATAGATGATAGATCAAGATGATAGATCAATAGATGATACACGATAGATCAAAATGGTAGATGATGGATAGATGGCAGATGATTGGTAGGTAGCTGCCTCAAGCGGTTGGGCGGGTATGGTCCCTTGTGCATCTTCACGAGACACGATTCCGGGAAGCCCCTGAGAGACAGGCCGGAGGGCTTGCTTTTAAAATGAAGGGAGACATCTAGTCAAGTACAACAGCCAGATACCCTGCTTTTCTCCAAACACAAAAAAATCCACAATCCTTACAGATAAAACTGAAAACTGAGATTTAATAATCATAAAAGCATTGTGGATACCTACACTAATAAATTTAAAATGAAGGTGAGATGGATATTTGGCTAGAATATACTTTAAGAGGCCATAATTGATATGAGAAAATAATTTTAAACCTGAATACGCTAACGACCATTAAATAAATGATACAGTACTAAAATCTACCCATTTTCACTTACCATTTCCCCAGAATGTGCCCAAACTGGATGGTCTTAGGGCTGAGGTGAACCAAACGCTCAAGGAGCACATGATCCTTGTCTTGAATAAGTGGGTCCAGAAAATGAGAGACGGGGGAAGGGTCCAGGCCGCGCGCAATCGTTATGTACACTTGACACCCAAAGAAGAAGAGAAGCTGACAGTCTGGTTTTTCTTAAATATGAAATATATTTATGAGTAACTCCCAGGTGAGGCAAATCAGCTCAAGGAACAGATAAGTTTACCCCACATGTGCAAGAGAAAATGATTCTTCATCAGAAAATCTATTTGCGTAATTCACCACATTAATAGATGAACAAGAAGAATGTGTGTGATTATTTCAGTAGATATGGAAATAGCACTTGATGGAGTTCCACATGTGTTCATGATAAAACCTCTCAAAAAACCAAAGCATAGATGGAAGAAGAGAGTGAGTGAGGAAGCAAACGGGAAGTGAAAGGCTCCCGCGTTGTCTCAGGTACCGATGTGTCTCATCCTGTCCTGATGATGTTTACGTTTTGTAAAGCATCACTCTTGCCATCATCAGAAAAACAGGAACCCTAGTCTTGAGCCTTATGTGGTCCTATGTCATCTCCTAATGTGGGACCTGTTGGAGATGGTCAGAAATAAATAGAAAGTGGGCATTTCTGGGGTTACGAACACAGTCTACAAAACGGGAGACGTGGCTGAGAGCAGAAGCCAAAACAGCGCTCGCACTTTTCCACTTTGAGTATGTGGATGTATCTCGTAGCCAACTCGAGTTTTGTTTCTTGCAGTCCCTCAACGGCTTTGCTCTGGTCGTGAGCGCGGAAGGGGTGATATTTTATGCATCAGCCACGATCGCGGACTATCTGGGCTTCCACCAGGTAAGCACAGCCTTCAGTCTGCCGCACGATGCGTTCTGTTCCCTTGTGCATGCCCATTGTCTTCACAGTGAAACGTCCGGGGCTCGGTCACAGCGAGAGGTGTGCTGGTGTCCAGGGAGTCCTTCAGGCCAGCCAGGGCAATGGGTCCAGGTGGAGCCGTGAGCCGGGGCCGAGGCCCATCACACCTGGACCCAGAGCGTGGAAGCTCCTCCAAGCAAAGGTGCATCAAGGGGTCGGACCACAGCCCGGGGACCAAAAGCAGCCTCAGCCTGGCCTCTGGGACGGGAAAGAAGTCACTCAGGAGAAATCTGAACCCAAATGCAGACTTTCACCCCACAGAGCGCAGGCTCCTGAGTCTGGGAGTCCCAGAGCCACCAGCGCCCAAAGACCCTCCCGCTGGAGAGGGGTCGCACCATGAGTGACAGACACGGAGCCGTGGGCTGTGAGGTGCTGGCCCGCTCCCTGAGGACTCCCGGCATCAGATGGGTGGTCTTGAGGAAGAACAATCTAGAAGTTTGGAAAATGGAGACTATGGCATGTCAGCCAGCCAGGTCCCATCTGGAGACAGAAACTGGGCAGCGATGTGAAAAGTTAATGTAAAAAGTGACTGTGCATTTATATGAAGATTTCTTAACCAGCAGCTCGGGCTTAGCAACAAGGAGGGGGAGCAGACACAGTGGGGGGTCTGTGTCCGGGGACGGGCAGCTTTGGAGATCTGCCCTCACTGCTGGTCCCCGAGGTATCCCAGGCCAGGGCTGCCAGCAGGAAACTGAGACACCAGGGGGCTGCCTGTGGCGGGAGCAGTTATCACACAAGGGGACACACTGGCCCCCTGAGAGCCCAGTGCCCAGAGGCCATACGTGTAGTGACAGAAATCTTTGAATGGCAGAAAACAGGTGGTGCCCAGTAGCAGAGGGCGTTGGAGCCGAGGTCTGACACGGGGTGCCCAACACCCAAGTTCAGGTCGGCCTGAGGCCCCCGGCACTGAGGAAGCCTTTGGTCTGCTTTCCATGGGAAGGGTCACTTTGAATTGTTTCCTAAGCTGGAGGCCATCCGAGAAGCAGTCCCTCTTACAACCACCTCCACTTTGTGTCCTGTCACCTGAACCCAAGGTTGGAATGACCACCACACCCTGTCCTGACCAGGCTTCTTTCTGTCACTGGCCCCAGGGCAGTCCTCTGGCCGTCCACCGGCACACCGGTGAACTGTGCCGACCTCGCGGCCTGGGGGAGCCCCTGCGGTACATGAAGGATGCAATGGGACGGCCAGCATGTGGGGGCTGCCACCTCCAAGTGGCACCCCCGGGGCTGTGTGTCAGACCACAGGGCCGAGCCTGGACTCTGCTGTCGTGGTCGTTAGGTGGCCACTCTGAGCCTCATTTGCCCCTCCACACAGTGGGGCAGCAGCAGGGTCCACACCAGTCCCTGAACACGCAGAGCGCTGGGAAGAACCTCGGCGCCTGTGACACTTGCCAGGGCGTCACCACCAGCAGGTCTGCTGCCGGGCAGCCCGCCTGAGGTGTCTCTCCCCTTGGCTGCACCTGACAGCCTGTGATGAGCCCTGTCACCACGTCCATCCCCTGAAGACTCCAGGCCGTAGGGAGATGGGAGGCTGGGCCGTGAGCCCTCATTTCCTAGGACGATACAAGCACCAGGCGTGGCCCTGACGCCTTTCCTCTCCATTTCAGCCTTCTGTGTGTCACGGTCGCTCAGGTGCCCGTTTACACAGTGCCGTCCACCCCTAAGTGACCCCTAGCTTGCTGGACGTGGCCAGGGTTGCTGTCTCCCTCACTGGGGTAGCGCTGGCCCAGCGCTGAGCTCACAGGACACGGCCCCCCTCGGTGTGCGTGGCTCCGTGCCGTCTCCCGAACTGGCTGTAAATCCTCGGCTGTGCTTCGCGGTCCCGACAGGCTTTGGTGTCGGTGATCAAGGCCGTGGCCTGCAGAGCGACTTTGACCCCGGGTCTGAACGTGTCAACCGACCTCTCTTTTTCTTGGAGCTTGGTCATTTCCCTCCAAGAGTTAGAACTAAAAAAAAGTGCCTTTTATTGTAAGGAAATTAGTTCTAAAGGCCATTAACTCAGGCACTGCCTCTAATTTATGCAAAATATTTCACGGAAATATTGAAACAGCTTTGTGCTATTGTGAGTTTCGTGTGCAAAATGCTTTACAAAAAGGCAGGAACCACTGACTTCCTGTCACAATCTGAGCCCATTGTCTGTCTTCAAGTCCAGCACTTTTGGGGATGAATACGTGGGTTTAGATGTATCGTTTAGTTGCTGTTGACGTTTATTGGTTGAAGTGGTGTATTCTCTGGAAGGTCAGCAGCTGGGGGCAGTTGTCCCCGTGTGAACCAGGGTGATGTTAGAGCTTGCTGATGGGACCAGTTAGGATCCCACAGGCGTGGGCAACATATACACACACTTTGCACAAAGAAGTGCAGATGCTGGAAGGAGCAGTTTTGTTAAAATAATGCTTTTACTCTTAACTCCGTAAATGATGGTTTGGAGCTAAAATAGTGACTGCTTGTACTTGATCAAAGCCGTTGTTTTTGTCCATTTGAGTAGTTGTTAGATCATTCGCTGCCCTCCTCACATTCTTCTCCCCTTTTATTTCTCTTGACCTCACATCGGAGGAACCAGGCTCTAGGAAATTAAGAAAGACCCCTAAGCATGGTCAGACATGCCACCCTGATTATTACAGCACAGACTTGTTTCCTCAGGCTAAAGAATATTCACATGTAATGTCTTCAGATTGGTCTTGGTCAGAAGTGTCTTCTCCAGTTTCTCCTTGAAGTTCATCTCCCTCCTGCTTGGTTAAGCCGCACACTTGCCTAGCATGTTAATTCCACACGGCCCCTTTGGTAGGTAACTAAGGTGTGGATACGATGAACAGGGTTCTGCCAAGCTTGGGGCCACCGACTCAAAGTCATGAGAGAAGAGCGAATGTACAGCCCAGTGAGCACGGCGACACTCTGAGCTCAGAGGTCAGAGGTCAGCATCATCTCATCCTTTCCCAAAACCGTAGAGGGAAGATGGCAGCCATCTGCAGCAGGATGGAAGAACACCAGATTCCCACGAGTCAAATGATGTGCAGTGCGCTGCACAGCAGGCAAAACGTTTGTTACAGAAATCAAAGTGATCAGCTAAATGGAGGGCGAACCATGTTCAGGAATTGGAGGACTCAGCATTGTTATAAAGATGTCAGATCAAGGTATAGAGTTAGTGACCTCACCGCAAAAACTGCACAGCTTTTCTGGGCAGAAATGGACCAGCTAACGAAGTGCAGACGCTCAGGAGATCCGAGGGGGCGGGAGAGCAGCAGTGACGATCCCGGCGAACCGTGATCCCGGATGCAAGACTTCTACAAACTCAGCAGTTAAGACAGCGTGGGACCCACACAAGGACAGACGACTGGACCTGTCAGAGCAGACGTGTGCACGGATATGGGGTTTGGATAAAGGTGGCCCTGTCAGCAGTGGGGAAATGGTGGTCTTGCCAATCAGTGGAGCTGGGCAAGCCAGATCCACGTGGCAGAAAAAGGAGCCTGAGTCTTGCCTCACACCAGACACAGTAAATATCAGGTGGGTGGTAGAAGTTTCCAGAAGATCACAGGGCAGAGTTAGGATATCTAGGAGTTTCGATTTCTTGGGATAAAACCATCTCTCAGGAAAGACTGAGGAACAGGCTGTATTACATCCACTGGGAGGGGAGGGAGGTAGGGAGGGAGTGGAGAAGGTATTTGCAACCAAGGCCTCGTCTCCAGAACAGGAAAAAATACAAATCAGCATGACAGCTCATTGGAAAATGGAGAGAAGTCGCCAACGGGCAACACGCACATTTGCACGCACACACACTCGCATCTGAAGACCAACAGATGTGAGAAGATGCAGTCTCATTCGTGTCCATGACGTGCAGGTTAAAACCACTCTGAGGAACCGGGACACACCGCCATGGTGGCTCACACAACAGAGGCTGAAAGCACCAAATGTTGGCCAGTAAAGCCACTGGACTTTCTTACTTGCCACAGTGGGAGAGTCTTGTACACTCGCTCTGGAAAACTTTGGCATTATCTACTAAGCTGAAACTCTGCCATCGTGACCCAGTGATTCCACTCCTGGGTGTGCACTCAGAGACGTGGCCACGTCACGCAGAAGGGGCCCCGACGGGAAGCAGCTGAACGCCCATCAGCCATAGAGGGGATTAGCCAGAGGTATTCGTACAGCGAAACTCACATGGGCGGTAGTGGTAAAAACTGGTGAATGTCACAGTTGTGATGCTGAGCGAGCAAAGACGCAGCAGATACGGACCACCCAGCAGAGTCGGCCATGACGTGACCCCTCCTGCCAAGATGGTGGAGGGAAGGGCCTCTGAGGTGCTGCTGCCGCCCTGTTTCCTGATTGTGTGGTGGTTACATGGGGAAGCCATCAGGTTGTGTATTTAGGATTTGGGTACTTTTCAGCCTATATGTTATGCTCGAATCACAAAAGTTTATTAGGAAAACATCCCTGTGGGAAGTGTGCTTGTGATCATAGGTACCTTACTGGTACAGGTAAGGAAGCCACCAGGTAAAACTAGAGCCATCAGGTGAGGCGGGTGCCAGCAGGTCTGGAGTTGGAGGAAAAGCCTGGTGTATCCACTTCCACCATGAGTTGGTCTCTGTCAGTCCCACGTTCATGCCCTGAGCCCGTGACCCTGGGCACACTGACAAGGACACCACGTGGGACCTCTGTGTCCACGTCTTTCTGTGAAAACATAGTCTCTCTGGACTGCGGGGTGCACAGGTGATGGAGTCCACCCTCAAGTTATGACCACCTTCCTGTCTTCCTTCCTGACACTGCATCTTGTTGGCATTGTGAGCGTCAGAGTGACCGTTAGGGGAGGGAGTGCAGAGACGTGCACGGGCGCGCGTCATTCATCAACACACTCTGAGAACATGGTTACTGACAGCATTACCTGCTGTCACATTCCGTGGGTGTGGCCTGCGTGGCCCAGATGGCGGCTTCCCAGTGTGGACCTGATGCCCACAAGGCTCAGCCTCTGCGGGGGTACAGAGGCCTAGAGAGAAGGCTGCAGGCTGGTGGGCCCTGAGGCATCCTGCAAGGGGGCAGGGGCAGGCCTGGAGGTGCCAGGAAGGAGGTCAAGAGGCACCGGCCCTGCTCTTTTCTCACCTGGTGGCCCCCACCTCACCTCACAGGGACACTTTCCCAGTAAACTTTGGCAATCGGAGTATAGCATGGAGGCTGACCGTGCCCAGATCACACAGCTGGAGAGCCCACCGAGTCACGGAGGGTTGGCGTCAGTTTAGAAAAGTGGGTGTCTTGGCCCCAGAAGACGTGGGGTCTGTGAACCTGAGCCTCCTGCTTGGCCCTTGAGGGCACCGCCTGGTGGTGGGAGAGGGGCTGGGGCCTCTGGGCAGCACGCACCCCCAGGGAGGGGATGGCCTCCAGGCCACGCTCCTGTCTTTTCCATGGACTTTCTGTTCACAGATGTGACATGCTCTTGACAGACAGCTAAGGCGTTTGTGCAGGTGGCGGTCACTGGACATGGGTAAGGCTGACACACGTGTTGCCATGTTTCAGACGGATGTGATGCACCAAAACATTTATGACTACATCCACGTGGACGACCGCCAGGACTTCTGCCGGCAGCTGCACTGGGCCATGGACCCCCCCCAGGTGGCGTGTGGACAGCCCCTGCGCTCAGAGCCAGGTGGGTCTCCCCAGGCCGGAGCCCTTCACGTAAACTGTCCACCCGCCTGGGAACTGCCCACCTGCTTTCCTTCTTCCCTTCGCCCTGAGCGTGGCGTCCCAGCCCTTCGTCCTTCGGGGACTTCCTCCCTCTTGTCTTGCCTCCTCGGTGGCCTGCAGCTCTCGGGCCCTGGATGGTGGCGTCTCTAATCACTTCTTTGTCCACTGAGGCGCCTTGCCAAGAAGCTGTGGCACCTGTCTCCCCAGGTCGCACGCCTCCGAGGAAATCCCTTTGGCTCACATTAGATTTACCTGGAAAAAGCCCCAAAGGATTGTTTTCCGTTCAGAGGTGCCGCCCCTTGTGGGCAAGAGCCCTGCCTGCAGGCTGTGCACTTGGCAGGCGGGCAGCCCCTCATGGCATGTGGGCGCTGGGACACAGGGCGGGGTCCCCGGTCCTCTTACCATCTCCCGGGAGCTAGGACTGATTCGAGGACAGTCCCCGACACAGCAGCACCCAGCAGCGTGGTTCTCCTCGTGAGACGAGAGCATCCCAGGTGCCCATGCATGGCGCCGTTTTATGAAGCAAACAGCTGCAGTGTCCTGCATGTGTGTGACCATGTGAGCACACATGTCACAGCGGCCGTCTGGGGACAGGGACGGGGAGGTGCGGCTGTGTGTGACGGGGCGGGCATGTGAGCGACGTGGTGACCGCGTGCTGTCACATGTGCCACCTTGCTGACCAGAGTGCTCTCATGTCTCTCTCGGTCACCGCTGGCCCATGTGGCAGGAGAGGACGCCATCCTGGGACAGCTGCTCAGGGCCCAGGACGGGCGTGCGGGGCCCTCGGAGTTCTCAGCCTTCCTGACGCGCTGCTTCGTCTGCCGCGTGCGCTGCCTGCTGGACAGCACCTCGGGCTTCCTGGTGAGTGAGCACCTTCAGGCGGGCAGTGGGCTGCACAGGGAGCCGGGCTGTCAGCAGGGCTGGGTGACGCGGGCTGCCGGTGGATGACGGCGTTGCTGAAGTGCTGGGGTCCGCGCAGCTTTGTACGCCGTCACGGGTTTGCGCTCATGGTAGCTGTACCTTTATCTGAGAGTCATTTTCAGGGCGTTTCCCCTGCCCCCCAACGTCCCAGCTGCCCAGGACTGACAGGCGGGACAGCCTCCGACCTCTCGGCACAGGTCCCGGGCCACCGTTCCTGCCCAGGCTCCTTGGCTGAACCGCTCTTGCAGATCCATTCTTGGGCTTTTCAGTTCTCATATCTGGCCACCTCCTCACCGCAGGGGCCGAGGGGGAAGGAGGACACGCCCCCCAGGGGCACACGGAGCAGGCGCCCAGCCCATGCCAGACCTGCCCCCTCTTGGGCTCCCGATACTGGGGTGGCTCTCACAGCCTCCACCGCCACCCTCCCAGCCCAGTACCCACACTCTCCTCTGGTCACGGCCTCCCAAGAGCCTCGCGGCCTCCATCCGTGGGCAGCTCTTCACCACGGTGACCCTCTGACCCCAGGACCCTAGGGCTTTTCGCCCCCAGTGCCACAGGGCAGGCCCCATTGGGGCAGACCCCCAACCACTGCACACACTCCCTGTGGGCCCCTCGCGGGTCCGTCTCCCCGCCTGGGCTGTAGCCCTGGGAGGGGCGAGCCCCTGGTGCTTGGCGTTGGGTGTTTGCAGCCTCCGAGTGCTGGACCAGGGCTGGGCTGCAGACTCCTAGCAGGTGCTCCGTGTGCATCTGGAGAAGGAAGGCGGCTGGACAGTGGCCTGTCTGTGGCTCCGGGAGAGAAAGCAGCCCCTGCACGCCAGCCCTCAGGTGCCGCCGGCAGCTTGTCCTGTCGCTGTTTGTCCCTTCTTGTCTTGCACTGTCTTTTCCAGCCTGGGACCCACCACGCAGTATAGATCGCAACTGTCAGAGTGTCCCCACTGCCCTTTGACCTCTCCCCTTTCAGGAAGTGTACCCCCAGACCACCCCGCATCCAAGCTGCCCGTCGGTCCTGGGCCGAGGACCCTCAGCCAGGCCCCTCCAGGCTGGACTCGGTGCAGAGAGGCCCATGACCTGCACCGGTGGTGCAGTTCCTATTAACCTTTTCCTGTTGGGCGGTTGTTTTGTTTCTGCAGTAACGGTTGTTGTTTTCTTAATGGAAACATTGCTTGTACATAATATAAACTCAGTCACTTCAGAACAGTAGAGAATGAAAAAGAAAAACATCCCTCCTTTGCATCCACCCAGGCCCCAGGCCCCTTCTCCAGACGCCACCACCCAGCCTCTTGCCCCCCCCCACCCCGGCCTCCCCATGTCCCTCCTCCTCTCCGCTCCGCCTGATCAGCGAGGGGGCTGAGCTGCTGGGCCTCGGAGACCCTTCCCAGAGCTCAGGACCTGCCCTCCCTCCGGGCCGTGTGTCCTGCAGTTCCTGAGCCCTACGTGCTTCTCCCTGAGCCTCACCTGGCTGACACCCCTCTTTTTTTTTTTTTTTTTTTTATGAGCCATCCTGCTACCTGTTGGCAGCTCAGTGGCTGCTCAGCTCGGGCCAGAAATCAAACCGCTGTTGCTCAGAGCTCAAACGCTTGAGTGAGCTCAACCAACTGAGCCACTCGGCCGCCCCTGGCTGAACCCCTTCCAAATAGCGGGGTCCCCACCGGAGATGCTGTGCTTCCGGTCCCACGTCACCTGCCTCAGGCCACCCAACCTGCCAAGTTGCTTTAACTTTGCCCAGACTGATGGTAGCTTAGCAGTCACTCCTGGCTGCCTCCAGGCCACCAATTTGTTTATGGCAATATTTTGGCTTCAACCATTGGGTAGTGAAGTGATAGCTTCATGGCCCTGGGATTTTCTTCTCCTCATCCAATGGAGGAGTGACGGGGGTCGCCGGTGGGTGGCAGTGGGAATGCCCCAGGCCCAGCCCCACAGCAGAAGCATCTGGTAAATCTCTTGTTGCTGCAGGTCCCCCACCCCCACCCCCCACCTATGACCCTTCGTAATAGGAGCACTTGCTCATTTGCACCATGATCCTGACATACGCACAATCGCTCGTCTTTTGTTTAGGCAGTTGGTTGTCCATAAAGGCTTTTATTTTGACATTTTGTTCTAATTTTGTGGGAAGCTAAGTTTTAATATAGCTAGATTTTCCTATACAATCAAGCAGAGATTGAAATATAGGTTAAAAATGAAACTGTAAAAGCACTGAGTAGAGGAAACAAAAAAACTTAGTTTGAAAAGTGTCGGATTACATCTTATCCATAACTTCATTATTGCACATGCTGGAAAGTGCTCGGGCGCTTATAACGAACGCTCCGAGGACAGGCCCGTGGGCAACACACATTTGCACAACCTCCAGGCTCTTCCTAGCTGTGAGTATGGCAACCACCCCATCACAGTCCGGGCAAGGCGCTGTTACGTGGAGCTGGCTGGTGCTGTGTATGGGAGCCTGTTGTTAACATTTCAGGAATTCAGGTCCAGGTGACGTTAGGTTAGTAGCTTGTAATCAGCGATGGTGTAAATACTTACACCAAAATATTTGGTGAACAGTACAAATCTAGTCTTTTTTCCTCTGGAGAGCCTGATGTTAAATACACCCCAGCACAGCACTGCCTTGAATCCTTCACACCGAGCCTGTGACTGGCACATAGTAGGTGCTTTGCAGGTATTTGTTCGTTCAGTAATCCTTAGACAAATGGAGAGATGGATGTGTGGGTGGATGGAAAGATGGATGGATGGATGGTGGATGGATGGATGGATGGATGGATGGATGATGGATGAATGGATCATGAATAGATGGATTAATGGATAACTGATGGATGACTGGACAGGGAAAGGAGAGATGAAAGTACAGATGGACAGATGGATGGAGGGATGGACAGATGGATGGATGGGTAGGGAGAGAGTGGGGCCATGTTGTGAGGTCATTCTCCCATCAAGGGCAGGAGCACCCGATGGTACTTGGTGACTAACTCAATTATAGATCAACTTTTCCACGGTAGAGAAATTTTTTTATTTTATCACAAAGTCCTAAGTTACTTACTGGCTTTTAGATTTACACTATATGCTGTAGATAAACAGAATTGAGCTGTCCCTAAGTTTTAGCATCAGGAGTAAAGGAACAATAATTTGGAAATGGAGGTTAAAGCTGAAACAATCCTCAGAAATTATCCACTCCAGCAGATGTTACTGGGGGATTAGCTGGTGGCTGTGCCCTGGGTCAGTGACAGCCTAAGCTGATGTACAGTCACGCTCACTGTGTGAGAGTGGCCTGAGAGTGCACAACCGAGAACACGCTTGTCACTTAAAGGATATTACGGAGAAACCGTGAGTCACTCCGAGGGCCTTGGGATAGTGCGTGTCCCAAGGTAGCCAAGCACGGAGAGGGGCGGTTCACACCTCCTCAGTGACTCAGGAGAAGATTCTTTTCCGCGTTTCTGCCTCTGAGAATGTCAGTTCTGTGTCCTCTGGCTGTGTCGCTAATTTGCTTTGTGAACTTGTTTCTGTCTTTAAAACACCAGACGATGCAGTTTCAAGGAAAACTAAAATTCCTGTTTGGACAGAAGAGGAAGGCGCTGTCAGGGACAGCCCTGTCCCCTCGCCTATCACTGTTCTGCATTGTGGTGCCTGTCCTCCTACCCTCTGTGGCGGAAATGAAAATGAAGGGCGCGTTTTTGAGGGCGAAGCACAGGGCAGACTTCGCGGCCACGACGGACACAAAGTGAGTAGAGCCACTCTGCGGCCACACTTGCGGTCGCTGGTGCTTAAAGCACTTACTGTCTACGCCTCTTCATTTCCAGCAAGCAATAAAATGACAAGTGTGGTGCTTTGTAAGCTGGCGCATTATGGAAGCCACTGTTAGAAAAGAGAACGTTTGTGAACGGTGGCAGCGAATGCTGCCTACACCGCTCGTGCCCGAGTCCTCCAGTGGCCGTCCAGTCACGCAGGCTTCTCTCTCAAACCCCAGAGGCCACCTTCAGGACGCTCCCTTTTGGTGGGTGTGAGTGTCCAGTCCTCTTCAGCATCCACGGTTCAGCAGTGACGCCTTCAGTGACTGTTTAGACGATTAGAAAATCCTACAGCAGCCGCTGTGGCTGTAACGCTAACGCTGCTCGTTTCTGCCCCGGTGATGGTGATGGTGATGGTGACGTGGCCTGTCTTGGGCTTGCAGTTGGAGCTGCCGCCTGCTGCTGCTGTTGCTGTCCTCACACGCCTGTACTGAGCATGGCTGCCAGGGACAGAGCCACCATCAGCCTGGGGCCGCCGTCTGGGTCTCTGCCATGTGCCTATATGCTAAGACAGCAGTTTTGTGGAGCAGCTTTAAATTAAATATATATGCTTTGTTATGTTTAAAGATACAAAAATGTCATAAAATACGAGGGAGGAGAAACAGAATGACACGAGCTAAGTCATGAAAGTGTGCCAAAGCACAGAGCTTATTGCCCAGGGACTAACCCACCTGTGCAGAGCCCTCGGCCACGGGCTCCTGTGCCCGGCGGCGACCGTCACGCCTGCCTTCTAACCGCCTGCACTGGTGCTGGGACTCCGAAGTGCGCCCCCTCTTCACTTACTCCCCTGAGCGTTCTGGCTCTTACGTTGTTGTGGCTTGATAATTATAATCGAAACGCACACAATGCGTTTTCTCTTTTCCACATGTCTTTCCAGCCCTACAGAACCAGAGGAAAACCCTACCTCCCCATCGCCTCTTAGAGGTTGGGTGCTAG